TTCACACGTACCAAGTATGTGCAAGCACCAAAAGCATAGACCGCATTCAGAACAGTGAACTAACTAGTCCGCGGATCAAATATGGCCGACCCACTTGAATACCTGTACTTCCCCACAGGGAATCTATTCAGTGTCTCTTAGCGGATTGGACGGCAACCTTTTTTTAGGGGGTCGCCGTATCTGACCCGGGGACTAGTTAGTCCACTGTTTTGAATGCGGCCTTAGTCAAATACAAGTGATTATCTTTGTGTATATATATGTATGTATATCTCCGGGTATGGTGTGCGTGAATATTTCGGTAAGACCTGGAACTTAAAGGCACTTGAAAAACTGTCACAAACAACTAATCCAGGTGTAACAAGAATGGGAGTTTTAGGAATGGACGTCCGGGCTCCCATATGATTAGTACAGGTTAGGGTTAGTTGGAGTATTGGGGTTAGTATATGGGAGGAATGTCACCTGTACAAAGTAATGGGAAACGGACTACGGTTCCTAGCGGACCTCCATCCCTGTTACACAGGTCATTTACTTTTATGTCAGTCACCTCACTGTTATTTATGTCAGTATCTTTACGTCAGTTTACGTTTTTAATCATCATCTTTTCCTGTGCTTTTGACGTAGCTGCTTCTGGTTCGGTAAAGTTACAATTGTTCCAATATCATATTTAGCATATTACATGTAATGGAAGAGAGATGAGATAGTGGACTTTATGCAATTGACGTTGCCACCCTCAGTTTTGGCTGTTAGAGATAGGGACACAATAGGCAATGTAAAGCCATTTTGAATTGTGTGGTGTTTTCAAAGGTTCGGGATACAATATATTCTTTATTACATCCAAGGATACAAATGCACCACTTTATGTTGTTTTTGAAAGCATTATGTGGTAGACGTAAGTAAAAATAACCCGATATTTAAGGTTATTGACTTTAAGGATGTGTTATTAGAAACTGCTTTTGAACAGCAGAAAATAGATTGTCTTCAGGAAAAACGTTACTTGCAGTAAAAAGCATTTTCCAAGTAAAGCTTTTAATATTAGTGTTTTGGCGTTCAGTAAAGCACGCGATTGCTTTTGACAGACGTTTCAGTCTACTTTTAATACTCGCTGCGTCGCTCTAAGGTGGTCATCCCGTGCGGTCCCTACAGACAATTTCTTACATGTAATCAATAGCAATATCACGGTGTCACCTCTTAATGTTAGTACGACTACTTCCATTAAAATCACATTTCTTCTTATATTTGGGCTATAACACCCATGATTCAATATCAAGCATTGCAGTAGCGTATGGAATGGTCTCAGCCGTGTATGGACTCTAGCATTTTTATTATTAGTATTATTTCCTTTCACTTGTTAGAATATTTCTCCTTTGAAGGATCGTAATTATACTATTTGAAGTAGACACCAATTTCCTATGAAAGGAAAACTAAGTAAAGGGCATGCCGTCATAAAATTATAAGAGCATCCTTCTCCAGGAACTTCATTTGCGTCTAAATGTTGCAAAAAACACAAAATAAAACCTATTACTCAATTTCTGAAATAACAGTTGACTCAGACATATTTCAATTAAACTTCAATTTCTGTTGGCAATATGCAAACGTATTGTTATGCCTTTTCAGTATACGATCCACCCCTGGATAAAATCATTGCTGCTGAGCACAAACAAAGGCCAAAATTGCCCAGGGAACAGAAGTCCAAAGAACGCCAATTTTTTTAATTTTCAAGATACAATGATTCGAAATCAGTTGTGAAATCTATTTAATCAAACGCGTTGCTGTTACTACGGAAGGAATGAAAATAACAATGCCTGACGCTGCCACGTAAAATGAACCTATATACTTATAAAATGATTTTTCGTGACTTTAAGCAGAATGTACCCTGGAAGCATGATGAAACTAGAGTAAGGGGAAATGGAAACGAGCTAGACCATTTTCGCTACTATAGAAAGAAAAACAAAAACAGGTTGGATAACATCACAGGAAAGAGCACAATTTGGAAAACAGAATGCTTGCGGCGGCATTGACCATAGGCCTCTTATTTTGGTGTCGTATAAATGTTATTGATATTTTTGTTAGTTCTTTATCTTAAGGCTTGGTTCAGCGTCTTGCACTCGTTGTAAATTAATTTTAAACAATTGTTGTTGAAAATGTATAGACCCCGTGGCATCAGTCACATTTTAGTGGTTATTGGAACCGTCATCGTAATCTGAAGCAAATATAAGGGACCATTCCCATACCCCATGGTACTAACAAGCTCGGTCTATGTCCTAGGGGTTTCTCGCTAAACTGCATTTAGTTTAAGTGCGAAAAAGTTAATTACCCCCTAGCAGCTTCAGTGGGCGTGACAGACATTTAAGCCTCTTAAACTGAATGCAATTTAGCAAGAATCCCCTCCCCTTAGATCGATCCTGCTAGTGCAATAGGTTTATGGGAACCCAGTCTAAGACCGTCTGCCTGTGTGCTCTTTTTTCTTAAATACATTGTCAAATGTTGTAAAGTTTGTCCTGCTTGCTTCATCTTTTTCTGTTTGGAGGCCATTTAGTCATTAAAATATTTGCCTTCATGTCGCCTTCAAACCGTTTGGAAATATAATCGATTAATACCATAATCGCATCTTATAGTATTTAAATCTGGCTTTAAGGTGCCTTAAAATATGTATCCACGTTTTGAAATATAATTTTGTGAAACTTAAACTGTATGTGCATCAAAATATTTAAACAACATTCTTATTATATTTCAAACACCCTTGAATGAAATGTGATCTTTGTCATTCAAGGAATCGGTTGATTTTATTATATATATGTAATTTCTCATCATAAAATTCAGGATTCTATTTTATCATTATTATCTTAATTACTTTTTAAAGCTTTGTCGGTATTCAAATTTCTGATAAATATTTTGTACGTAAATATTAGCTAAATTAACATTATTATTATTATTATTATTTTTTTTTTTTTCAGACTACAAGACGACAAAGTATGCCGGTGGTAGCCAAATCTGACTACGGCTTCACCACAGACAAAATCAAAGGTAAGAGCCGACATACCTGCAGCCTGCAAGGATACACTGTACGGTTTTTCTTATACTCTCTCTCTCTCTCTCTCTCTCTCTCTCTCTCTCTCTATATATAAACAGCAGTGTCACAGATGGGGTATTTGGCACTCTTTGCCTCTTTGCCTTTTCCTCTCTTTTTCTTTGTTCTTATTCACTTCATTCTTATCCTTTCTCAGTTTCATATTACCTCCACCCCTGTTTGTTTGTTTGTTTTTTTGTTTGTCATCAACATAACTCGAGAAGTTAGGGATGAATTTCGATGGAATTTTCAGGGTAGGTCAGAAATGGGTTAACTTAGAAGTGATTAGTTTTTGGCGATGATCCGGATCAATTATCAATCAATAATCAATAATCAAAAATATAGAAAATTTAGGGGTGAAACAGCATTGAATGGAGGCTTTGCTGCCTTCGCGGAGGTCTGCGCTCTCTGAGTGCTTTTCTAGTTTTCTTTATCTTTTCTCTTTTGTTTTTGAGAAAACGTTGTAAACATCCGACCAACGGTTTCCAGTTGTTTTCCTTCAAAAGTCTATTTTCTTATAGTTGAGAAAGACGAGGTCTGACATGTATGATTGACATCCAACATGCTATAATTGCAGAAAATAAGTTTTCAAAGATTCCATTTTTGATTAAGACAAGAACAATATCTGTTCTGAATTGAATTCTCTTGTCATAAACCAGTGCATGTTTCCATGGTAGCCAAAAGCAATGAAATCCAATGCTCTAATATGTTGCACAGTTGTTTCTTCTAGAGTTGTTGTTCGTAAAGCCAACGTTGACCTAGTTTGACCTCGATCTTGACCTAATTTGATTCTGAAAGCTCTACATTGGATAGCCTTCTCAGGCTGCCTTCTTGGAGAAGTACCTCAATATGAAAGTTCGCTTTTTCAGCCATATTTTATCATTTCACGTCCTCAAACCTAACGAGCTTTCTCATATCTTTCCATAAACATAATTCATCGAGTTTGAGTTTGAGTTTGTTTTTTTTTTACAAAAGTATCAATTAAATGTGAGTTTTTTCCAGTAGGTAATTTCCCCCCCAAAAAGCTGAGTTTTTTATTTCGCCGCTTGGGTTAAAGATAACTTATTATTTACAATTTTGATTTTAAGAGATTTTAAAATTAATGTAAATTCTGTGCAGAAAGTCAACTTTTGTTATTATATAACATGTTCGGCCAAATTTATTTCTCATTCTTCTAGAAAAGACTAAAGAGGCACGTCTTTCGTACCTATTCAGGCTCAGGCTCATGTAAACAGTTTTCAATTTTCTTTGACGGAGAAGAAACGGATGCCAGCAAGAGACAAAATAATATCATTCATAGAGGCAATCTCTTCTCAGTTGTTAAAAGAAGCTAAATACGACTGCAGCAAGACGTACATTCTACGTGTATGTACAGTAATGTATTCAATAATAAATTCATGTGTTATTTGTCTCCAAAACGCCTGTCGAAATAAAGACAAACCTGATCACAACAGTGGTTAAAATACAGAGTGTGTAATCTTCTAGCGCTTGTTACCAGTAAAGTACAATTATATGGAGATTTAATGAAAACTGACAGAAAACGTTCCATAATCCTGCCTTTGAAGCCTCTTGGGTCTTCCCAGTGCTAGGATTTTATCTTAAAACATCAAACTAAATTGACATTTTTTCGAATTATTGATACAAATGTCACGACTGATTTCAAAGAACGAAACCCATTCTATTGAATTTATACACATATATAGATGTTCATCACTATTCAAGTTTTCGGATAGTGCATTCAAAAGACACTAATGATATAAACATGCGATAAATTTTGCTCAATAAAGTCGTATTCGTGTTGCAAAACATAACATACATATCCAAGGGGATTTTTCTGGATTAAAACAAATCTTTTCTGTTGTACACTAATAGAATTTGAAGAGGCGTTCAATGTGTTTGACAAAGACGGAAATGGGATGATTACCACGGAAGAATTGGGAGAAGTTCTCAGATCGCTCGGCGAACGACCAACATATTTTGAACTCAAGGACGCTATGGAAGCAATGGACGGAGATCGTGAGTACTTCAGTTATTTATCTTATATCTATCTTATCAAATCTTTTACATGCATTCAGAGATAAAAAACAGAGACTTGTTTTATATAAAAATGGATAATCAAGGAGGTAATACATCTTTCAGAAACTTAGAACATGAATAGCAATTCATTTTGCTTTGGTAATTTGATTGAAAACCAAAAATTGTGTCCGTAGTGTCATAAATGACTCGTATTGATATAATCACGGTTACGTCGATGTTATGTAATGGTAACATCATGATATATATATATATAATGGTAACATCATGGTATATGTCAAGGTAACATCATGGTAATGTCATGGTTACATCATGATAATGTCATGGTAACATCATGGGATGTCATGGTTACGTCATTGTTATGGTAATGATTGTTTTTATTGATAATAGTTACGATGTACTGGTGCAACCGTACGCGATAAACAGCCGATGGCACGTCCACATTCTGAACGCACCAAGAAGATCGTAAACTGATATTTGAAATTATATCAAGGGAAAAAGAGAGCAGTGGATAAAGACAAGGTTTTATTATATATTTATAATGCAATTGGGATACCCCTTATTATATCTGGAAAGATCTTCCGAGTTCACGTGTTTGATAACCAAACGTGATTTTGTCATTTATTTTAGGCAGCTTATGAAATATCTTCAGTGAATAAAGGTCATTACTTAATTGTTGTCGGAGATGATTATTACATGACGGTACCCCCTACCAGTACCGCAGTAATTAATCTAAGGATATTTTTGCTAAGGCGAACCTCTAACTTTGGGCCAGATGGAAGCAATAAATCCGCACGCGTGCTGATGGCATTGTACTCGCTCTGCAGGAGCTCAGTGGGAGCTGGGGTTCACGCTGATATAGTTAACGCTCGTTATACAACCTGTCTTGTCTTGTCTGTCTGCTGAAAAAAGTCACATGGTTTAAAGTACAGTAGCACCCTGAAGTAACAAGCTTTTCATAAGGGGCTGTTTTTATTGCCACTGATGAGCAATTAACCGTTTTGGTTGCTGTCAAAGGGACTTGGCTTAGGGTCTGTTAAGTGGCAGTGCCTGAGCAGTTATGCAAATAACAACCAGTCATGCAATTATCATAGATTTCATTACAGGGTGGCAAAGAATCAAATGACTGTTTATTTATCTATCTATGAATATCCCGTGAAAAATCAAACTGTGGCCCTGGTGGAGGTCAGAGACGTCGTAAGTGACAGTGCCTGAGTAGTTATGCAAACAATTACCAGCCATGTAATCATCCTTAAGATTTCACCACAGGGTCACAGTAAAGAGATTAGCTATCTATTTAAGGGTATTGTAACCCTTTATTATCATTCAGATACCGAAAATGAGGATTTCCCTGCATCAAATTATTCAATAATGCATCTATCTTTGTGCTGATTTAAAGCAACAGAAATCTCCTTGAAAATATAAAAGATCGGCTTTTACCCCAAGTATATTTCCTACTANACTTCTTTTCTTGTTTCGACCGTGATTAAACTGTTGGAAGACGAATGACAAAGATAGTTTGTGATAGATACAATACGAGTCGCCGAGCTGTACGTGAAATATTACAAGTGTATTGGCGAGCCGCAGGCGAGACAATACACGAGTAATTTTCACGTACAGCTCGGCGACGAGTGTTGTATCTGGCTTAAACCACGGCCTCTGATTGGCTACTACACTAGTAGTGCAACAGACCGTGGAACGCACTCGTACATGACGTGCTTGTACGTCGAATACAGCACGGCCGAGTCTTTTGTTCTACGTGCTAGCCGTGGTTTAAATATAAGTGGAGTGTTTCAAGATTAACACTAATCACTTCTAAGTCAAGAATCAGTACCTGGCATACAAAACCAAACACCTACGCCTGAAGAGATCAATTTGGTCGTACCGTTGAATGAAGAGAAAAGGGCATAATAAATAAGTGTCAAATAGGTCTCCGCAGCCTTCTTTTTCAAAATAACAAATGCTCTAGAACATACGACTGATTAGTTGGAAATTTCTTTGACACGGTTCTCAGAGGGTCAGTTATTAATATCAAAATTGTAGAACGCCTGCTTTGGGCACGTCAGGCTGACTGATTTAGACGGTTATATAGGAATGTACAGCGAAGGATATTTTACAGGAATTAGATGAGAAAAAAAGGAGAGTGTTTTTAGATCAACCTTGGCAAAAATACAGAACCTAGCCTTATTATCGTCATATCTGTGCAACAAGTTGTATTCATCCCGCAAACTTTGGTTGGTTATAAGCGTAGAGACAACTGCTCGCGTCGTCTGCTTCATATTGGACAGGAGTGCTTTTTAATTTTTTTTTTCGTTTTTATATCAGTGCAATAAAAGTAAACACATTTAAAGCTTAAATGACCTTTTTTTTTTTGCTTTATTCCCCTCCACACATACTTCGACCTGTACAAAAGGCCAATTTTGCTTTCGATCATGTCTTCCATAAATAAAAACATAATTTCAATAGGTTTTATTTCAGAATATCTCAGTAAGACCTGCTTTAAATCAAGAAATCATTGCGAAGAACGTTGAAACAAATGATTGAAAATTGACTGAATAAAAGCCTTCAAAAATCAATTTATTCTTTCAAAAGAAGCTAGGCACTTGCATACTTCTATGCTCTGTCCTTTCCAAGTATGCATTGGCGTACATATACATGAATCTTGAATGTCACTAGTACAAGATGTTTTTATTTGACAACAGATACAAAGTACATTTCATTCACACAGTGTGGGAGTTTGCCAATTAAAATCCAAATAAATACTCTTTTTGTGGGCTACCATTTTGAAGCAAGGGAAAATGTTAATAGAAGTAATGTATATCGACTCCAACGGTGAGATGATAGTTAAACCTAGGAGAAACTGCCTGGTTTGAGGCATAACACAGAGTCAGCAGTTTGTACTTGGTGGATTGTATTGTTCGTGTTTTTGTATGTGTGTTCTTTAACCTGCCCGTGGTTTTGTGTGTTTATCAATGCGAGTAGTAAGTATGTGCAAGCACCGTAAGCGTAGCCCGCATTCAGAACAGTGGACTAACTAGTCCACGGGTTTAATATGGCCGACCCACTTGAATACCTCCCCACAGGGAATCTATTCAGTGTCTATTAGCGTATTAGAGGGCAAGCTTTTTCGGGGGTCGCCATATTTGACCCGCGGACTAGTTAGTCCACTGTTCTGAATGCGGCCTTAGACAAACACAAGTGATTATATATATATATATATATGTGTATGTATATCTCTGGGTATGGTGTGCATGAATATAGAGGGACTTGAAGGCACTTGAACAACTGTCACAAACAACTAATCCAGGTGTGACAGGAATGGAAGTTTTAGGAATGGAAGTCCGCGGGCTCCAATATGATTAGTACAGGGTAGGGTTAGTTGGAATATTGGGGTTAGTGTATAGGACGAATGTCACCTGTACAAAGTAAGGGGAAACGGACTACGGTTCCTAGCGGACTGCCATTCCTGCTACACAGGTCTTTTGCTTTGATGTCAGTCACCTCTCTGTTATTTATCTCAGTCTCTTTACGTCATTTAACGTTTTTAATCATCATCTTTTCCTGTGCTTTTGATGCAGCTGCTTCTGGTTCGATGAAGTTACAATTGTTCAAATATCATATTTAGCATACATGTATAAAGGGAAGAGAGATGAGATAGTGGACTTTATGCAATTGACATTGCCACCCTCAGTTTTGGCTGTGAGAGACCAAGGCACAATAGGCAACGTAAAGCCATTTTGATTTGTGTGGTGTTTTCAAAGGTTTAGGATACAATATATTCTTTATTACATCCAAGGATACAAATGCACCACTTTATTTTGTTTTTGAAAGCATTATGTGGTAGACGTAAGTAAAAATAACCCGACATTTAAGGTAATTGACTTTAAGGATGTATTATTAGAAACTACTTTTGAACTGCCGAAAATAGATTGTCTTCAGGAAAAACGTTACTTGCAGTAAAAAGCATTTTCTAAGTAAGGCTTTTAATGTATGTGTTTTGGCGCACAGTGAAGCACGCAATTGGCTTTGACAGACGTTAAAGTCTACTTTTCATACACGCCGCGTCGCTATAAGGTGGTCATCCCATGCGGGTCCCTACAGACAAATTCTTACATGTATTTTTTTTTTTTTTTTTTTTTTAGCATAGATTATTTATCATGCACTCTAACAACAGCATGTAAATAGCAACATTCATATGTTTTGTATAATGTCTTAAATTTATGTACAATTGGTGCTTTCAAAGTAGTGCACATAATCATTATGCAAAATACATGTACATGTACAAAGTTTTTTTTTTTTTTTTTAATTGAAAAATTTCAGTATAAGAAAGTACATATACCCAAGTATGGTAAATGCACACTGCACACTCACTCACTCTCTTACCCACACTCTCTCTCACACACACACGAATATAAGTTTATAATCTCATGAACAATAGGTGTAATAATAATAATAATAATAATAATAATAATAATAATAATAATAATAATAATAAAGATCGATACCACAATGTATTCATCCATAACTACAACATATTATTAAGCAAAAAGTGCAAAATATTATTTTGCTGAAGCTAATTAAATTCAAACATGTCTGACCAATTTTCCCATTTTTTTCAAAGTTTGTTAAATTTAGCTTTTTTAATGCATTGAATTTTTCTATTACAAATTGATCCTTTATGTAATTTATGAGTGAAGAAAGACGCATGCTTTCTTTCTTTTTGAAACTTTTGTAAATATAAAATTTCGTACAAAGAATAACAAAATTAATTGGGCTGTTTGGGTTTGTTGGATAGCCGAAAAGGATGCATTTTTCATTAAAGGTAATGTTTTTATTCGTTCTGTTAAAGATGTAAGCTTTCAGTTCTTCCCAAATTTTTTTACTATACGCGCATTGGAAGAAAGTATGCGAAATGTCTTCCCTTGCAACACCACAAAGAGAACAGACGTCATCGTTTTCAATCCCTATAGTTTTTAAATATGATTTAACAGGCAGGAGCCTATGTATTATGCGGTATTGGAACCACTGCAGTTTGGTGTTCTTTGTTGTTTCGAAACAGTTCTTATAGACATCTTTAAATTCTTACATGTAATCAATAGCAATATTATGGTGTCACCTCGTAGTGCGACTACTTCCATTAAAAGCACATTTCTTCTTATATTTGGGCTATAACACCATGATTCAATAACAAGCATTGCAGTAGCGTATGGCATGGCCTCGTCGTTTACGAACTCTAGTATTTTTATTAGTATTATTTCCTTTCACTTTCTAGAATATTTCTCCTTTGAAGGATCGTAATTATACTATTTGAAGTAAACACCAATTTCCTATGAAAGGAACACTAAGTAAAGGGCATACCGTCATAAAATTATAAGAGCATCCTTCTCCAGGAACTTTCTTTGCGTCTAAATGTTGCAAAAAAAAACACAAAATAAAACCTTTTACACAATTTCTGAAATAACAGTTGACTCAGACATATTTCAATTAAACTTCAATTTCTATTGGCAATGTGCAAACGTATTGTTATGCCTTTACAGTATACCATCCACCCCTGGATAAAATCATTGCTGCTGAGCACAAACAAAGGCAAAAATTGCCCAGGGAACAGAAGACCAGAGAACACCAATTTTTTTAATTTTCAAGATACAATGATTCGAAGTCAGTTATGAAATCTATTTAATCAAACACGTTGCTGTTACTAGGGTTGGGATGAAAATAACAATGGCTGATGCTGCCACGTAAAATGAACCTATAATACCTATAAAATGATTTTTCGTGACTCTAAGCAGAATGTACCCTGGAAGCATGATGAAACTAGAGTAAGGGGAAATGGAAACGAGCTAGACCATTTTCGATTCTATAGAAAGAAAAAAAAAAACAGGTTAGATAACATCACGGGAAAGAGCACAATTTGGAAAATAGTATGCTTGTGGCGGCATTAGCCATATGTCTCTTATTTTGGTTTCGTATAAATGTTATTAATATTTTTGTTAGTTTTTTATCTTAAGGCTTGGTTCAGCGTCTTGCACTCGTTGTAAATTCATTTTAAACAATTGTTGTTGAAAATGTGTAGTGCCCTTTTCAATTCTTGCCAGACCCCGTGGCATCAGTCACATTTGGTGGTTGTAGGAACCGTCATCGTAATCTGAAGCAAATATAAGGTACCATTCCCATACCCCATTAGTCGCTCTATGTCCGAGTGGTTTCTCGCTAAATTGCATTTACTTTAAGGGCGCAAGAAAGTTAATTACCCCCTAGCAGCTTCAGTGGGTGGGGCAGACATTTAAGCCTCTTAAACTGAATGCAATTTAGCAAGAATCCCCTCCCCTTAGATCGATCCTGCTAGTACGATAGGTATATGGGAACCCAGTCTAAGACCGTCTGCCTGTGTGCTCTTTTTTTCACACAGTGTCAAATGTTGTAAAGTATATCCTGCTTGCTTCATCTTTTTCCGTTTGGAGGCCATTTAGTCATTAAAACACTTGCCTTCATGTCGCCTTCAAACCGTTTGGGAATATAATCTATTAATACCATAATCGCATCTTATAGTATTTAAATCTGGCTTTTAGGTGCATTAACGTATGTATCCCCTTATTGAAACATAGTGTTGTGGAACTTGAGCAGTATGTGCATCAAAATATTTAAGCAACAATTAAGATCGACATCCTTGAATGAAATGTGATCTTTGTCATTCGATAAATTGGTTGATTTTATTAAATATATTTAATTTCCCATCATAAAATTCAGGATTTTATTTTATCATTATTATCTGAATTACTTTTAGAGGCTCTCCGTCGGTATTCAAATTTCTGATATATATATTTTGTACGTATTATTATTATTATTATTATTATTATTATTATTATCAATTTTTTTTCAGACTACAAGACGACAAAGCATGCCGGTGGTAGCCAAATCTGACTACGGCTTCACCACAGACAAAATAAAAGGTAAGCCATCGTACCCAAAAGCAATGAAATCCAATGCTCTAATCTGTTGCACAGTTGTTTCTTCTAGAGTTGTTGTTCGTAAAGCCAACCTTGACCTTATTTGACCTTCACCTTGACCTAATTTGATTCTGAAAGCTCTCTATTGGGTGTCCTTCTCAGGCTGTCTCCTCGATGAAATACTCAGATGTCTGAGTACCTCAATACGAAAGTCCGCTTTTTTCAGCCATATTTTATCAATTCACGTCCTCAAACCTAACGACCTTTCTTATAGCTTTCCATAAAGATAATTCAGGGCAGACCTTACACTTTACATTTTTTTTTACAAAAAATTCAATTAAATGTGAGACTTTTACCAGTAGGTAATTTGTCAACCAAAGCTGAGTTTTTTTTTTATTTCGCCGCTTGGGTAAAAGATAACTTATTTCTTACAATTATGGTTTGAAGAGATTAATCAATGTTAATACTGTGCAGAAAGTCAACTTTTGTTATTATATAACATTATATAACAAATTTATCTTTCATTCGTCTAGAAAAGACTAAAGAGGCACGTCTTTCGTACCTATTCTCTGTTCAGACTCATGTAAACAGTTTCCAATTTTCTTTGACGGAAAAGAAACGGATGCCAGCAAGGGAAAATTTTTTTAAACATCTTTATTCTCAAGAGGGTTAAATATTGTTGCAGTATAATTGAAGGTGGCAATTCGCCTAGGCATTAGCCTACATGCTCACCTTTGAAATTAAATAATAATAATAATAATAATAATATTCAAGAAAAAGACGGTGACGAGGACNTCTATTTTAAATCCAAAACTTAAGTGTCACTCCATGTGTAGCCAAATGTGTTACCTAATTACCACACAACTCTCGAAACAATTGATGTATGCAGTTTTTCGCCAAGGCATTACATGCTCACCTTTGAATTTAAATAATAATAATAATAATAACAACAATGATAATAATATAAGATAATAAGATAATAATGGTTAAAAATAATAAAAATGATATTCAAGGAAAAGACAGTGCCGAGGACATGAGTGAAATTTGAGGGGAATGAGGGACAAGGCATGGGCGAAAGGTATTTGTAGGGGGGGGAGGGGCAATAGGCCATCAGGAGAGAGTGGTAGGCGCCAGAACAGAAATGAAAGAAGATTCAGACATTTTTGATTAAGAAATCCGACACTATTTCGAAAATTTTGTCGTTTTGTCCAGATGTTAGTGTTTTATGGCCATGTAGGAAGAGGGATATCTTATCTAGATGGGTTCTGAAATATGCATAAGTTACACCAAGTATATCTTCAACAGATTCGTAGAGATCACAATATTTCCTCTGTTTCAGTGGGCACTGAAAGAAAAAATATCGGATGGTTTCGGGTTTCCCACATAAACAGTTTTGCCATAGAGGCAATCTCTTCTCAATTGTTAAAAGAAGCTAAATACGACCGCAGCAAGACGTACATCAACGTGTATGTACAGTGATGACCACCTCAATAATAAATTCATATGTGTTATTTGTCTTCAAAACGCTTTTCGAAATAAAAGGTAAACCTGATCACAACAGTGGTTAAAAATACATGTACACAGTGTGTATAATCTTCTAGCGCTTAATTATTACCAGTGACTCTGGATCTGGAGCAAATCGTACAATTATATGGAGATTTAATGAAAACTGACAGAAAACGTTCCATATTCCTGCCTTTGAAGCCTCTTGGGTCTTCCCAGTGCTAGGATTTTATCTTAAAACACCAAACTAAATTGACATTTTTTCGAATTATTGATACAAATGCCACGACTGATTTCAAAGAACGAAACCCATTCTATTGAATTTATACTCACATATAGATGTTCATCACTATTAAATTTTTCGGGTAGTGCATTCAAAAGACACTAATGATATAAACATGCAATAAATTTTGCTCAATAAGGTCGTATTCGTGTTGCAAAACATAACATACATATCCAAGGGGATTTTTCTGGATTAAAAAAAAATCTTTTCTGCTATACACTAATAGAATTTGAAGAGGCATTCAATGTGTTTGACAAGGACGGAAATGGGATGATTACCACGGAAGAATTGGGAGAAGTTCTCAGATCGCTCGGCGAACGACCAACATATTTTGAACTCAAGGACGCTATGGAAGCAATGGACGGAGATCGTGAGTACTTCAGTTATTTACCTTATATTTATCTTATCATATCTTTTACATGTATTAAGAAAAATCAGAGACTTGTTTTACATAAAAATGGATAATCAAGGAGCCAATACATCTATCAAAACTTAGAACATGAATTGCAATTCATTTTGCTTCGGTAACTTGATTGATAATCAAAAATTGTTTCCGTAATGTCGTAATTGACTCGTATTGATATAATCACGTCATGGTAAGGTCATGGTAACATCACGGTATGTCATGGTTACGTCACTGTTATGGCAATGATTGTTTTTATTGATAATAATTACGATGTACTGGTGCAACCGGACGCCATAAATAGCTAATTGCATGTCCACATTCTGAACGCACCAAGAAGGTCGTAAATTGATATATTCGAAATCATATCAAGGGAAAAAGAGAGTAGTGTATAAAGAAAAGGTTCTATTATATATTTATACAATTGGAATACCCCTTATTATATCTGGAAAGACCTTCCGAGTTTACGTGTTTGATAACTAAACGGGATTTTGTCATTTATTTTAGGCAGCTTATGAAATATCTTCAGTGAATAAAGGTCAGTACTTAATTATTGTCGGAGATGATTATTACATAACGGAACCCCCTACCAGTACCGCAGTAATTAATGTAAGGATATTTTTGCTAAGGCGAACCTCTAACTTTGGGCCAGATGGAAGCAATAAATCCGCACGCGTGCTGATGGCATTGTACCCGCTCTGCAGGAGCTCAGTGTGAGCATGGGGTTCACGCTGATGTAATTAACACTCGTTACACAACCTGTCTTGTCTTGTCTGTCTGCTGAAAAAAGCCACGTGGTTTTAAGTACAGTAGCACCCTGAAGTAACAAGCTTTTCATAAGGGGCTGTTTTTATTGTTACAGATGAGCAATTAACCGTTTTGGTTGCTGTCAAAGGGACTTGGCTTAGGGTCTGTTAAGTGGCAGTGCCTGAGCAGTCATGCAAATAACAACCAGTCATGCAATTATCATAGCTTTCATCACAGGGTGGCAGAGAATCAAATGACTGTTTATATTTATCTAAGGATGTATCTGTGAATATCTCGTGAAAAATCAAACTGTGGTCCTGGTAGAGGTCAGGGACTTCGTAAGTGACAGTGCCTAAGTAGTAATGCTAACAATTGCCAGCCATGTAATCATCCTTAAGATTTCACCACAGGGTCACAGTACAGAGATTAGCCATCTATTTAAGGGTATTATATACCCTTTATTACCATCCAGATACAGAAAATGAGGATTTTCCTGCACCAAATTATTCAATAATGCATCTATCTTTGTGCTGATTTAAAGCAACAAAAATCTCCTCGAAAATATAAAATATCGGCTTTTACCCCAGGTATATTTCCTATTGCAATGTATCAGCATTGGCAACTCAAAGCTTTCATCGTCAGTTTAACACCTTTCTATTCTGAGGTGAGAAAGTAATCGTAACTTCCCTGAACAAGATTTTATCACAAAATTGGCAGAGTTGACTGCGAATGTATGTGCTACAATCCCGTGCCTCATTTTGGTTTAAATACTTTTGTTGTGGAGTTATGATCCCCTAATTACAGATTTTTATTAAACAAAGGCATAGTTTTGCTTTATCAACGATAGAATCTGAACTAAGGCGTTTAAGAAAAATCGCTGGCAGGGTTTGGGGGTACTAAATAGTGTCATTAAATTGGCATTAGAACGGTCATCGTGGGTGGTCAGGTAAAGGAGAATTATGAGAAACCGCTTTTTCAGTTTTTGCGATTTTTGGCGTCACCCGTAAGATGAAATGTGTAAATGTCAATTAATTTAGTCACTGAACACTGGAGATTTATCTATTACCCAAAATAATGTATGTAAGGCAGCAAGTAAGGAGTTTTGGTGACAATATCCTGAATCAACTCTCAATAGCTTATTTAAAAGGCTTAAATCAATTCTGGGTTGGTATCGTGGCTCTTTGGGTTTTACTGCCTCGCTGACACGCTTCAAAGTTGTGGTTCAAAAATGACAATCAGCATTTTTCACCTTGGCGCACTCAGCACAACATTTTCGTCCAATTCTTATTATTAAAGTGCAAGCAGTTCAAATATGAGACTCATTATCTATGGAAAAAATATCCAGAGTTCACGTGCATGAAAACAAAACGTGATGCAACAGTCAGTTATTTAAGACAGGTTAGGTAAGATCTGCAGTGTATTAAGGCCATTGCATCCCGCACGAAAACGCAGTAGATACTCCAGAGCTGTAGACTAAGTACTGCAATCATACTGCAAACACATATGCCTCAAATTTGCTTCGAGTTGGGAGCTTATTAGCATATATGAAACATGTTTCTATCATGCTGCTAATCTACTGCATTAATGCTCCTCTCTGTACAAACCTATGTACTTTTTGGAGTAGAATTGCAGTAGGCTACACTGCGTTTCTCCTGCAAATATGCTCCACACCACTACTGCGTTAATGCTACTTGCTACTTTTCGTGCGGGATGTACTTAATTGCTGTGGGAGATGATCATTAGATAACGTGTATACTAGTTTGCACACCGAGAGAAAGAAACAAAGACACAGTTCTAGACTTGTCAGACGCACCCTTTCCAATTTCCATCATGAACTCCACGCCAGTTAAAATGGTTCGATTCATCGCAAGCGAATCTTCCACATAATATTATGGCTTATGATGTAGTTATTCGGTCCATTTCTGGGGAAATGTCAGATTGAGATGACTCCTCCCCACTTCTACTTATTGCCTCGAAGATAAAAATGGAATAGAAATAAGGAAGATACGTCTAGATATATTAGAGAGAGAGAGAGAGAGACAGAGAGAGAGAGAGGGGGGGGGTTACAGGGCTTAGAATCCATGTAAGATAGCACGTATAGCTGCAGTCGTCTGTAACAAAATTCGATGCACATGATTCGCAAAAATACACATTTAATGTAGTTGCTTTATTCGCGTAACCACAAGTGGAATAAGATTGCTACAAATGTATTTTTATCGGATTCGGCTGTCATGGCCAGAAACTATAACCTTCGTTAAAAGTTCAGACTTTGATGGAAGAAAAATTTCCGAGAATAATGCACAAAACCAGTAAAAAAAAAAAACGGCAGAACACACCCAATGTTTCCTGCAACGTCAAATGCATTGTAAAAACTGAGCCTTTAGGATTGAGGAAACACGTGTTTAAATTATTAGGAACAGGTTCTTAAACAACACCAATAAAATCCATGTGCCAAAAACAGTGTATTATTGAGACATACAGCGATAAGCAGATAGACTCCACCCCTTTCCGTCCGCGTGTTGTACACGCAAATTGTTTCCAGCAGAAGAGGGCGGGGAGGCTCCACCCCTCCTAGGCAGAGAATGATACTGATACACTAGCACTCAAAGTATGATAGCACTTATTAAAAAAAAGAAAAACAAACTGAAACTGTCGTTAGAAACGACTATCGTTTGACAACGGGATTTGTGGTGTCTAGAATTTCTCAAATTAACCAGCGAGACGTCCAACTGCATCATTAGGGTGCTTTTCTTTATAAGTGGCGTTGTTTTAAGAAATTGTTCAATAATTTGGGTAATGTATCTGCATATACCAATTATCATTCCGATAATATACTGTAAAGTGAGTCTAATTATCCTTGGTAATTAACAGCCGCATGCGTCATCCGTCGAAATCACGTAAATGGAATTTGCTATATTTAGTCGAGGTTGATAATGAAATAACCGTCATAGAACCCTGGAAACTTCATTTCTTGTTTCCCGGTATAATATGTCATCCTGTAGACCTGGGTTGGAAACCATCTCCGGCCTTGATGTCAGAACCATGGTTCGCGGTACCGGGGACCAGGTGCGTTCTTTGAAGATGACGCGATGATCGCTGTCATCAAAATTGCTTTTAATAAGGGGTAGCCAATACACTGTCTTGTGAAAATTCATTTAAACAGGACTTCTTATGACATAACCAAATTACTTTTATTTTGAGGCAGAAAAGAACGAATAGGTTTATGCCAAGTTGCACAACTCTGTTGTTGTAATACCTTAGACCAGTGCGTGTAAAGTTAATTTCTTATCCACTCGTTGTCTCCTTCGTCCAGAATATGCAAATGGGAGGCTCAGGGCACGCCAAACATTCAATATTCGACCAGCGAATTAAGTTTACGATATCTTTGCGTGCATCACCGCGTCCCAGTTTCCTATTTGGCCTCTCCTGGAGATTTCAAGTAAGAGCCCTCTATCACACTGACGTCATTGGCGCCCGAGTGTTCCACCACACCCAGCTGAGGGTCGGGTTTTTTTCCAAGTGCACGCAACATTTTGTTGACTAATCCATCCAACGCGGAAACCATTGAAATCTTACAATTGTGCTCACTGTCATCTGGCAGGAAATGCGTCAAAGCTAACGCCGAGACGGAAATTACCTCTTCACATCTTCGGCTTTTAAAAGGTTGACAGACAAACACGTTGATTCCGTCGTCCCAGTTTCTACACTGTGGACGGAGATATTCCTCAGTGCATTGATCATGTTGCAAAGGCGCAATGCTTTTGATAACATATGGTCATAACAGTGAATTTGTCCGTATACTTACTGGTACATACATGTACATGTATGTAGATGCGAGCGATATCCCATTATTCTTCCTATAAAGATACTTTTAAAATAAGGTTTATGTACATGACAGTTGCACGAATATATATGCATTGAGTAAGGATATAATTATTCAGTGTGGACCGTGTACCTGGTGTCTGCTTTGATACAGAAGCCTTGTCTTTGCTTTATAGCCAATTGCGTTTTGTTCGCACGTATGAAAATTGTTCACATACGCCAATGCCTAGAATATTCATGTTTAATAGAAACCTGAATACAATAAACGTGTTTCACGTTAATTGTCACCGTGAAATCCTGCAAGTGTCCATGTCAAAAATTGTCTTTAACGATCCATCTCCTGTTTATCGTGTCTTAACATTTTGTATTATATTAGATCGGGTAATTAAGGTTTTACG